AAAGGGCAGAAGAAAATGCACCTATTTTGCTGACCTGCTGAACACCTCCAGATGTGTCCACAGGACAGAGTCACCAGATCAAGACAAGGATGAACTGTAGGAACAGGCAGAGGAGGAGGTTTTCAGGGTGGCAGACTAAGAGGGTCCGGCAGAGCTGATGTGGACCTTCTGACAACTTCGTTTACGCCAGGGTCCTAGAAAATCTTGCAGGTTGCTGCTTTAGGGGCAACAGTTCAGGGCAGCAATACGGCTGCTGCTTCTGAGAGATGGAGTGGGGAGACCTGCTTCTCTCAGCAGTAACAGTTGCCTTCTCCATCCCTCCCAGCCCTCTGGTAGCAGCAAAGGCATCCAACTCAATTCTCCTTCCTCACATCATTGATCCTCTCCTCCTCCTGATCCTCAGACAACTATTACCATGGCAGAAACAGCTTGGCCCTGATTACTTTCCAGCCCCTCAACCTTTAGACAACAGATGGCCCTGGAGCTACTGACGTGTGAAGCGTTTTCACACGCCTTAACAACTGCCTTAATTATGCAGCTTTGTCGTTAGGACGGGACAGGTGATTTAAATCTGAAAATCTGAACCTCTCCATCATCCAGTGGTCCAAACTGATGCTCATGACCTGGCAGCTCCAGGAACAGGGATGTTTGCTGAGATAATGTCAAGTACTAGTTGTCAGAAACCTTACATTTTTAAAAAAACTTGTATCCACAGCTGAGAAATTCCCAATAATAACTTCCAGGTGTGAATGTCCCTGCATACGGTGGACAATTAAAAAAAGTGCAGTTGGGACACTCTGTATTTGTTCATTAGCGTCTGAAGAACTACAAACCACAACTGACATATCTGTGGACATTTATGTGTTTGCAGGTGCACTGGTGACACGGGGAAATCAATAACAGTGTGAAAGTGAGAAAAAAAACCCACAATCTGCTGGAAAGACAAAGATAAATGGAATGGTGAAAAATAAAAGAAAGTGGTAAAAGAAAAGAATACAACAAAGCACAAAATTATCACAGGGTGAGCACGCTGAAGTAACGTCATCCCCAGCCAAGTACTTACAAGTAATAGGAGTAGGAATAGGCATTTCTTCTAAATATCAACGGCCAGTCCGATGAACAAAATATCCAAAAGGAGAAAAAAAGAAAAACACATAATTAGATTTATAGGAACTCGGAGTTTTTTCAATATACCAAGTATTTGTGCTGCCTCTTGTACTGAGCTCCTTTTCTCCTACACTTTTTTCAGGAGCTATACATTGGTGAGGAATGGAAAGTGAACTCCAGACACTTCTGAATTGTGTCACCATGAATAAACCCCCTTATCTCCTTCTTCCTTAACTTTGCTGTCAGTAACATAGGTAAGGAGACTTACCTTTGCCTGTAAAGTGCTTTGAAACTTTTGGAATGGAAATAAATATGTAAGAGCTATTAATATAAATAACAATAAATAGGAAAGTGACAATGTAAGAGCACCACAAATTTTGGAATATTTAAACAATGAGCAAATTGGGTAATGATAAATCAAGCTTCATCAAACTCTAAAATGCAAATACTTCATTAACAATTCAAGCATCACTACATATTTATAGATGATCACTGGGGGTATGCATTAGCTTTCTGCGTCACTGTGATTAAGCATTTTCTGTTACAGTTTTTCAACAATGCACTTCAGGATATTTTGATATGTTTTTGAGCAGTACCACAGAACGAGCCTTGGCACTCAGTTGTAACTTAGGAAGTGATGTTTTCCCTTGTATAACTGGAAAAGGGCTCCCTGGAAAGGGCTGCTTTGCCACAGACCCAGCACATGGTATTACAGGCTAACAGCGAGGCACAAGGGAGCCTCGAAAGCAGCAGCCATGATCAGGACAGGGAAAAAGAATGAAATACAAATTTCAACCTACTGCACAACTTTCAAATCCCATCCTTGAAGACACTACAACTACTAGGAAGTGCTTACTAGTATAAATGCAGGATTCAAGTGTTCACTTTTATGGTTGCTCTCAACACAGCTTTGGTAAGCACACATAGAAAACCAGACTCAGCGCAGTTACTGTCTGTGCAGTAACTCAAATTGCCCTCTCTGCAGTGCACACCCTGGGTAAAGGACCTCTTACAAGTGTACAAGAGGACTACTCTGAAATGGTAAGTTCTGTCTGGTGGCAGCCCCTGCCATAAACCTAAAATTCCAGACAGGTTCCCAATAGCTCCCAAGTATTTTGAACAACACTGACTCCAATGCATACCTGAACGTATTTATAACATAATGCTATCACCTCCCGACACTCAGAAATTCTACATGCAATAGCAGTGCCTCAGGTATGTGCAGTGATCACCACTGAGCTTCCCTGCAAAATCCCAAGTTCCTCTGAATTGCTAAACAAAGGGAAAAACCACCAGGATGTGGAAAACGAGAGCCCATGCCAGTGAACGCTCTACATCCCTCAGATTATTCCATTAACGAAACCCCTCTGATAAGCCAGTGCCAGGTTTCACAGCACCATCAGCTGCAATTATTCCACTGAACATCTTGCTGTACTTTCTGCTTCTCTCATGTCTCAGCCAGCAGACACACGTGATCACACGAGACTCTTGGTTCTCATTAAAAGCTGCATGTCCCTCAAGGCTACAGAGGAAAGCTCAGAAAGATTTATTTCATAAGGACAGAAAATAAAGGAAGACAAACAAAAGGAGGATTATATTTTGGAATTGGACAGGTCATTCTGACTCAAATTCTCCCAAAGTATGCAACCTAAAATAAGGACTTCTTAAGGAGTATTTCAAAACTGTTAAAACTGCTCAGAGTTATGGATCACTAAAAACATGACCTGATCCTCAAATGTATCACACAACCTGAAAACCCTGCCTGTCATCCACCTTAAATATGGATGCAGAAGGGACATGAGTCACTGAATGTGCAAATATCCCTTTTTAACTCTATCCTACAGCTTGGGCGTGTTCTGCTCAAGAGGTTTTTGGGATTTATTTAATTAGTTTAAGGTAACAACTTAAATCCTAATCCAGAATAAGGAGCTGAATTTTCATAGAAGAAACTAATCCCAGACCCTACATAGCCCCAAATCTCCTTTTTTGCTACCAACAGCACTTATTTCCAGTGCACCCATGACAGGCTGTCTCATCCTATTTATTCAGTCTTATACTTAAAGGGGTCAGTAGAGGCTTTGTCCGCTCAAACGCACATGGCTGAGAAGTGTCACATTCTTCACTCCAGGGAAATGCAAGTAACGATCACACCTGAGTTAAAACTGTCCAGATGAAATCAGAACTGACCAAAATCCAATCCTTTTGGGGGCAAAGTCGAAGGGTATTTTCTCCAAAAAAAAGAAGTTTACAAATGTCTTGTTTCTCTTGTTTCAACTTGTTTTTACTAATAGGTCCTGTATTCTCTATTACACAAAAATATTTAACTCATAGGAAGGACAAACATACAAGTTCCTTAGAGAATTATCAATGTTTTGAAACAATAAAAATGAGGTATTTCAAGGTATTTCACACATCTGAAAAGCCCTATAAAATATCGGCAGCCCCCAGAAATTTGCCAGCCACTAGAGTTTTTGCAATGTGGTCTACTGAAACTATGAGCAGCTGGGCAACACTTGCTCAGGCCTTGCATATGAAAGGTTATTAAAAAAATGTGGTTGATTTGGCGCACGTCTCAGAAACAAAAAGCAGTTTGTGATGATCTGTCTAATCCTAATCTCAAACCAGTGCCTGCCTTCTCTTAGTGTTTCCGTCTCTTCTAATCTCTCTCCTTCCTTTGCTCTTTGCACTAGTTAACAAAATGCTTCATTCAGGAAATTGCCTATTACTAACGGACTACGATGCCCTGGACCATGAACAAATGTCACTGTGATATTTTCCAGCTCCACTTGATGAAAACGTCTCAAGTTTGTCTAATTACATTATTTTTCGCAATTACTGCCTTGCAAGACTTTCTTGTACACTGAGGCATTAGCCTTAGTGAACTGAAAAGGGGAACTCTTTTTAAAGTAAGGTTAATGCAAGAATTGAAGGCAAAAGCTTAAGCTCCTAACGTTTCTCTTTGTAAAACAGAAAGAGAACTTTGTTGTTAAACTGCTCTCTCTGACAAGTTCAAGCTTTCAGCTGTGCTCCTCAAATCAATCTGTGGTCCAAAGCAGCCTTTCCTTTTATAAAAGCTGGTCCCAATCCGCATTAGTTTACAAATGAAATGAGCCTGACAGGCTTAAGTACATCTCCAGAGAACACTTCTCCATATGCAGCTCCAAGCCTCAATTGGACGTGACTGGTGGTGCCCATTCAAGGGAGACCCAGAACCGATGCCATCAGCAGGTTTGTCGGCAATGCTGGAGGTGTGCTGTGCAGATCTAGAGAGAGCAAGCCTCCAAAACATCCTTCTGCACTGTTATAGCTTCTAAATGGGAAGAGGTTTTAAAGTTGATGAGCCAGTTTATCTCCTGTAATAGTGTGTATTCCGGTGGGTAACCTTGCAAATGACAGCAAACAGGCAAAGAGAGATACCGACTGCAGAGATTTTCCCTGTTTGCACGATGTGGGGGAACGACACAAAGGAAAATGTAATTTTCCAGCTCTAGAAAGAAAAAGGGGGAGATTTTCTATTTCAGATACTCCCACTCGCCTCCTTTCTAATTTTAATTTTTGAAGAAAGATGCACAGGTTAACAGAGCTTATGGCAAAGCCAGATATAGCAAAGTTCTGTTCATGGGACATACCACCCAAATTCATGAAACATTGCGGCTTTTGGGAGCAGGCCAGCTCCACAGAAGAATACTGAGCTGTGTTAGGGGCCAGCTCAGCTCAGTGCTAACTTTGGATATTTTTATATAAAGCAAATGAGTCCTCAGTCTCCAGTCTCTTGAACTTGCTCTGCATTACAAGTATTTTTGACGCTGGGTTTGTCTGTGTTTCTCTGTCCATGAGATACCAACACATTGAACAAAACTGCAGTAGATGTGACTACAAAACACACGCACATTTGCCCACAAAATCTGAAACTTTTACACACAACAAAAATTGGATTAAAAATCCAGATGCCTACACCTTCAGTTAATTCAACAGGGATTCACAGTAGTCACTACATACACAATCAGTTTTGTAGAATTATATCATTTGGAAAGGCTTCTTCAAAGGACACCTAGCCCAACCTCCTGCTTAAACCAGTTTCACTTGCAGCAAATCCCTCCGGGCCTTGTCCAAGTCAAGATTTTAATTTCTCCAAGGATGGAGATTCACCACCGCCAAACCATCCTGGTAACCCTCCTGGGGACTTGCTCTAATATATCAGTGCCCTTCTTGTACTGAGGATCCCCAAAGCAGCCTCAGCATGCCCAGAGCAATCTCACCAATGGCAAACAGAAGGGAGCAACCACTTGCCTTATCCTGCTGGCCACACTCTTGCTAACACCGGCCTGGATGCAGTTGACCTTCTCTGCCGCAAGGACACGTTGCTGACTTGTGTTCAACTTGTCCACCAAGACCTCCAGGTCCTTCTTTGCAAACCTGCCTGCACTGTTCATGGGGTTACTCCATTCCAGATGCAGGCCTTTGCCTTTGCGAAACTTCACGAGGTTCCCATCAGCTCATTTCTCCTGACCCACAAGGTCTTTCTGAATAGCAGCCCTGCACTCCAGCATCTGTACTATAGAGCTATCCATTTGCATATGTGCTCTGAAGTAACATAGAGGAGATCACATCTAGATTTAACTGCTGCTCTTATTTTTGGGAAATGTGTGACTGTCATAGAGGTAAGAAATCTCAAAGGAACAGAGCTTTCCTTTGAAAAGCTGCACTCCCTGCAACAGACCAAGTAAAATCATTGAGGCTCTTGCATGTAAGCCTACCTGTACCCTAGACAAGGGCCTGCCAGACTACCTAGCTCCTCTTTCACTTAGAATCAAATTACTGTTGAAAAGCAGGGTTCACTTCAGAAATGGGACTGGTAAAAAAAATATATACAAAATACATCTTTTTCTCAAGAAAACCTCTTGCCTGAGTGGTTTTCTGAATCTGTGTATTACACTGTAAATGTTGAGCTCTTCAAATAGCAGCAACTACAATAGTCTACTTCAAAGTGTAAGTGCGAATGGTCCAAAGAAAATCATACAAAACTCTTGAAGAAATTTCATTACCATACAAGTTTTTTCCAAGTTTTATTTTCCTGTACACTAAAGCTAACTCTTGGAGCAAGCATCTAAGCAAGACATCATATTCCAGCTGAACACTGGTTGCAGGGAAATTGCAGTGTGAAAATACGTCTCATCAAGACTTAGTTGGGAACAAGATCCTTGATCACATTATTTTAAGACATTATTTTTCTTGTCTGCTAAGAAATAATTCTTGTCTTGTATATTCTAGAAGAATTATTGCCTTCTATTATTCTTTTTGTCTTCTTGACAGCACAACCACTGTTGTGCTACCTGCACAGGCTCCCATGCTCACTTCCATTGACTCATTATGGCTTTGCACTCCTCCATGTTTTTTCATGTGGTATCCCTTCTCATTAATTATCAATTAAATATCATTAACTCTTTGCAGTAACAACCATGCTTTTGTTGCTCATCTGCAGTACAGGCATCTCTTCTGGAACTACAACTTCTTAGTGGCAGCATTATGTAAATAGTTATTAACTTCTGCCCTTAAAAAAATGGAAAGTTTTATCTCCACTAAATTTATTCTTCTTTTTCAAATAACAATATTCTAGCCAGAAGGTCCAAGATGGAAGCAAAGCAGAAACTTACCTTCTCTTGATGGTAAGCATTGCTCCCAAGAGGATAATAACAAACATCAGAAGACCAGCTATAACTCCGGCCATTTTCACTGTGCTGTCAACTTGTTTTTCTGGTTCCACTGCATTGGAATTCTGGGTGGAAGCTCCTTAAAATTTGGAGAGAGATGAAGGAGGAGATAAAAAGAGAATTTGTAGAAAAATCGTGCAATGATCCACTTTAAATATACATTTGAAAGCCTAACAACACATTTGCAATCAAACTGCAATAGACAATTGTCCATCTAACCAAATCTGCTTTTAATGGGGGCTAATGACAGGTATTTCAGAGCATTAATAGGGTGTAAAATCCCAGCGTAATGCAACTGACTCTAATATTTTACCATATTATACTGTAATGGGGAATTTACTCTTCTGAAGCACCCAATATACACCCAGAAGCAGGAGAATTAACAGCAGTGACAATTTTCACCTCAAATAGCTGAAGTGAAGGTGCAATCCTTACTCATCGACATAACAAATGTAAAAGTTTGCAGTAACATATCGCATACTACTACTTGAAGAAACTTTTTTTTCTTCTAAAATCAGAGCTCATTTGTATTTCTCACTATACTGCAGGCCTGGCTTTTTTAGACATACAGTTACAATTATGCACGTAACAAGCTCTAATCCAATGCACAGAGCACCCTTCACATGATCGAATTTATTCCATGCATGAGTTGTTCTGCAGGCCAGGCAAGATAACATAATTTCTATTTGAATTTTTTGGGTTTTTTAAGAGTAAAGTCTACGCACCTAAAAATAAAACATCTTCAGGAACATTTTTTGCACAGCATTTCTTCTTTTACTTCCTTATCATGATCTGACTTCAAGGGTCTTTTGCCCCTACAATAACTGAGGACCTTGCAGAATGCCACCCACTCCCCCGTTGCTGGGACTACTTGTGTAATGCTTATTATATACCTTAGCTCTGCTGACTTCACTGCTTGCTGCACAGGATTTTTCCAGATATAGCTTAAACCACTGAGCTTGATTTAGAAAGCCCCACAAGATTTGAGTCGTGGCGACTCTAAAGACTAAATAAGCCTATCTTTATTATATTCCTGATATACCTAACTACTCCAAAAAATATGACCACTGCATTTGATGAAGTTAAATGAATTCACGTTACATGAGATCACAATCTTGTCTTGGGCTTCACCTTTGCTGTTAGAGTCAACCAAGTCTTCCTCTACAGCTTAAACACAGCAGGAAAAGGGAATCAAAGGTGAAAACAGGGTGCTGCCATCGGAAGACTGTAATGTTTTGCTCTTTTAACAACTCTGGATGACCTTCAGGAAGAGCTGAACCACTTCTGATCACAAGTCAGTTGCTTGGAGAGATAATATTCAGTTGAGTCCATATGTTGGTGAGACAGCAGAAAGCCTCACTGGGTTATTCTTTTGGTCATTTGCCACATGCTAAACCACGTATGCTTTAAAAGGTCTCTGTCTGCAAGAATGAGTCCCAACAGCTACCATGACCAGGGCTTTCTGATATGTTCTGAATAGGGCCTTAGCTGATGGACTTTCAGGGATGAGGACCTGATCTTAAATAGAGTTACATTCTCCTCTCATCATAGCTTGAAGAGTACATATAGAACAATGACCCAGTGAACGCAAAACAAGAAAACTCACCACATGCAGTGCTAAAAGTATGATTTCGCTTTCCTACAGCTAAGCTGTTAACCTAGTTTGCCATAGCAAAACACAATATTTACCAAGCAAAAATGCTGGCTGTTTGAAACACATGTAATTTTCAGCTTTTTGTCCCTGACAACTCTATTGCTCTGCTGCATCCACCAATTTTCCCATTCTGTTACGAATTCACTGGTAACTTCTATGCACACATTTCAAATGCATTAATGGGACTCCTGAGTCTGAAAATAAAATAACATATTGGTTGCATACTACCATCTGTATCTGACAACATTACAATCTTACAATCTTGGATCAAATCTGCCAAAAGGTGAACTATGTGCCATCATACAGGCAATCCTGACACTATCACATAACAAAGTAAATGATAAAGGCACATTTTTTCCCTGAAAACGACTAAAGGTCTACTCGATTGAAGTGAAACTCAGAAGTACTCCAAATTATCCTTCACTTGAGATGCAGTTCCTCCTATGACCCTAAATAATAGATGTTGGAGAATGGTTTTCTACCACAAACAGTATCGTCAAACCCTCTCCTTTTTTGTACTGCCTGAATACTCTCATGAATTGTGAGCCACGTTAAAAAGAATTAAGAATGTGCTATCAACCCCATCCTCTAACCCACTACATCGGTTTGATTTTGCCAGGCTGTTGCTTGTTACTACAGGCAATGTGTGGTCAGTGTATTTTCATTTGATATTTCTCATCCCATTGTACACTTGCGCAATTGTAGAAGTGAATAAAGGCTTATTATCCACCCTGACACCTATACACTGTGGTGACTGAATCACTCGAATATTCTATGTAACTCTTTCTATCTGTCTTGGCAAAGGCCAACCATTCCTCTAGGCTACTAGTCCAATCATTTGTAAGTTGTCTCAGCATCTAGGAATTGATAATAAGACGCTGTCACTAAATTTCTGGCTCTTGGATTCTTAAAGCTTTGCACTGAAATATTACTGCAAAGTCCCTTCTTTTTCTACCGTTCTGGTGTATTTTCCTTGTAGATGCCTAAATCTACTACGGTCACTTGTAGTCCCACCTGCACCACCACCAGCTGTAGGTAAGAGAAGGTTTCTGTTCTGACAGAAGGTCTGGGAGCTGCTAATGTATTTGCAGAAGATGACTTCTGCTGTTCCTGAGAGCCACTCTTTTTTAGAATTCAGTTTTGCTTCTCTCCTTTGCCAGCATGCAGGCGGATCTGAAAACCTCTGAGCACAGAAGCCCATAAAAACTGCTCAGATGGCCATTTCATAGAAATGTCTTTAAATACACTTGGAAAGCTCTGCACCACTGTACTTGAGGGGCCATCCTCTTCTTTCAGAAAAACAATGTTTATACACTGCTGACATTAAAAGGGAAAGACAATAAAATATAGCCATATTTTCTAGTGTTTACGTCCACCACCTTTCCTGGAATAAATTGTTCCTTGTAACTGAAGCTGGAGACTGGAATAACAGGACATAGAACAGGTCACCACCGTTATTACTGTGTGTATTTCAGTGGCACCCAGAGCCCCCGCTAAGGCCAGGACCCCATTACACTGTACTAACACGAAGTAGGACAATTTTCTGCCCTAAGCTTACTTTCTTAATAAGGAAGGCAAATGATAGAAGAGAGTGTCAGAGAAGCGAAGACTGTAGGTCCCTTGACTCCCTATCTGTACATTATCTATTAGACCAGGCTACTACTTTCAGGGATATACATTTATGTACTGTACAAAATGTACTTTCCCAGAAACTTGACCAGTGGCATGGATCTGACTTTCGCAAGCATCAGCATTCACCCAGCATTCCATTTCACATGCATAGCTATTTCAAGAGTTTAGTCCTTTCCTATCAACTGAATTTATTTGCTGGTTCAATCCCTTTCAAGATTCCCAGAGATCCAGGACCTTGCAGTGAGACAGAGCACATTGCATGCAGCATGTTCATGGGAGATACTGTTCTGTTGATGCTGCAGAGATGCAAAGAGAGCAGAGCAGGGGCAAATGGGTTCTTTCCCAGAGTCGCCTGCCTTATCAGCCCATGAGAAGTCAGGTTTATGGATCATCGAGCACTGATGTTTGGTTGTTTTTTTCCGTAACGCCCTCACAGGCACCCGTGCGTCTATGCTGCTGTGGATTCACAGATATCTAAAGCCCAGACCAGTTCAGTAAGATGCAACTACTGGAAGCACGGTTTCATGTTGTGCCAGCTTCTTGTGGTTTTCAATCTTTTAAACTCCTCCTTGCTTCAGATCATAGTTAAAGCTGGCCCTGCAGTGGCTGATAACTTAGGGACAAGACTTTTGAAATCCAAAATTAATTTCAGTATTGAAGGCTGACATTTGTATTCCAGAGTGAAATCTTTCAGAAGATTTCTTCAGCTGAAAGTGTTTCTGTCCAGAAGGAAGAGATGACGTGTTCAGCTCCTTTGAGCTGAGAGATGGTTCGCAAGCGATTCCAACAGCCTAAACTCAACTTTTTGCCAGTCATAACTAATGATGAGGACCTTCTCAAAATGCTAAGTGAAAAAAATCATCCACTTACCAGCAAGCGTTCATATGTAGCGCTACACATGCCTAAAACAATATTCGTATGTACTTTAATGCTCAGGCAAGGTATGTAATACATTATGTTGTTTACTTTACAGATCTGGAAAGATTAAGGATATGCCTTTGGCATCACAGGCACCCAACAGCAGAGCTGAGGACTGACATTTTGGGACTGACACCCTGTGGCAATTCCATCAGACCACAGAGCCTCTTACAGATGGGAACGGGGTGGGACAGAGGGAGAAACAGCAACGGCAGCTAAGTGAAAGCTACCATGGCAGTCTTTCACCCAGCAATTTATGCACAGATGTATTCTTTGAAAACAATAAGCCACCAGACAAAAAGTGACCTTCTCTGTGGAGGTGGCAGACTGAAGAACATCCAGGAAAGAATGACTATTGAGTGCATGTGGCTATGCAGGACTGATAATACAAATTTCTTCTATAAAACCCATTTCACAAACTGTCATTTGAAACGTTCTTTATTTAACACAGCAATTACAATGTTGCATTAAAAAAATATAACTGACAGGAAAAAGAATTCAAAAGAGCCATAGGCAGGAGGAAAGGACGAGTATTTATGTGAGATTTCCAACTGGTGAGGCACGAAGAACAAAGCAGCACAACCATCAGCAGCTGTGTCACTGCACCAAAGAGAGGAGCATCTGATACCAGAACAGGAAGAGAAGAGAAAGGAGACGAAACGGCTGAAGGACTTCTGGGTCAAAAACCCAGGGGTAAGAAAAAAGCAGCACAAGTGTAAATGAGGGAGGTACAAAATGAGAGAAGCAACACAAGTAATGGGAGGTTCAGCCATGGCCAGATGGGAGGAAAGACCCAGCAAGGGGACAAGTCAGTCTGGCAAAGGCAAGGTTTGGCTTCAAATTTCTAACACCTAAAAATACAACTTCTTCAGACA